ACTTTCAACTCTATACGTTGGTTTTAATGGTTTTCAACATGAGACCAAGCATGCATTGTCACATTATAATGCTTTATGTTCTTATCCTGGTACTTTTTTTCAGGTAAAAGACGACCCTGGAGAGCCTTCTTGTTGTATGGGCCGCCTGGAACTGGTAAATCATATTTGGCCAAGGCTGTTGCAACTGAAGCTGACTCCACATTTTTCAGGTAGTATTAATTTGATCTTGTACTATTTAAGTTTTGTGTGCATGACTAATTCTAATTTTATGACAGTCCATTTGATGATCTTACATCTTCTGGAATCAGTGTAGAATTCTTACTATGCTGGCATTCTAATAGTTCTGGCTTAAATTTACTTTGGTGGTTTCAGTTATAAATCTTTTAAAGGCTAATGTGAGAAGACTCCTAATTTCATAATGAATGATTTCATCATGTTGCTGCATATGGCATATGCCTTGATCAATGATGCATATTAGGTACCTTTATCAGATCTATAAATGGATGTGTTCTTGTGAACGTATTTTAACTCTTGATTCCTGCCAGTGTTTCTTCATCAGACCTGGTTTCTAAGTGGATGGGTGAAAGTGAAAAGCTAGTTTCAAACCTTTTTCAAATGGCTCGAGAAAGTGCTCCTTCCATCATATTTGTTGATGAAATAGATTCTTTATGTGGTCAGCGTGGGGAAGGTAATGAGAGTGAAGCTTCAAGGAGAATCAAAACCGAACTTTTAGTGCAGATGCAGGTAAGAGTTTTGGGTGGGGAGCTGTTGGTGCTTGATAAACATGATGGCCTTTTGTAAATTGTCTTTTAAATTGCATTATTGGGTATCAACATCGAGAATCTTTTTAGTTTTTGTGTATTTGTTTGGGTTGTGCAGAACTATGTTGGAATCCTGCAATAAAAATAAAATTGATTCTCAAGGCCAGATTTATTGACCTGATTGAGCCATAATGTCTTATCATTCATTTACAGAGGCAGGATTTCTAAGGGTTTCATCTGGTCATGTGAACATAAATTTTCACTTTTTTATGGCATTATGTTATCAAAGCTCAAGTTTTCAATATTTCTTTTTTCCTTTTATCTGAAGATCATGTAGAATTGGCTTTTATACCACTTACAATGCAGGGTGTAGGACACAATGATCAGAAAGTTCTTGTTCTTGCAGCAACAAATACACCATATGCTCTTGATCAGGTTATAAGAACATAAATTTGCTAACGTGATTTTATTTTAGAGACAATATGGTATTATTTCAACTAATCAGCTTGTAATTTCAGGCGATAAGGCGACGTTTTGATAAGCGAATATATATACCACTGCCAGATTTGAAGGCTCGCCAACATATGTTTAAGGCAAGGGCAATATAAATGATGACGCATATTATAGGGTAGGATTTATTGGGCTGTGGAATCTTGGAAATGATTTTACAATGTTTATGTTGTGGATAAATTGAACAGGTGCATTTGGGTGATACTCCTCATAATTTGAGTGAAAGTGATTTTGAACATTTGGCTCGTAGGACAGAGGGTTTTTCAGGATCAGATATATCTGTCTGTGTAAGTTTTATTTGTTGATGGCATTCCTGATTTTAATTAGTGTTTTTATTTAGATGAATTTCATTTTCAAGTGAAAGGTTTTCCCCTCTTCCTTAACAGGTTAAGGATGTTTTATTTGAGCCTGTTCGGAAAACTCAAGATGCCATGTTTTTCTTCAAAAATACCGAGGGTATGTGGATACCTTGTGGACCAAAGCAACAGGGTGCAGTACAGATCACGATGCAGGATCTTGCTGCAAAAGGACTGGCATCCAAGGTATGGATGATGCTATTAACTTTGATTGTAGAATTCTGCTGCGGTTTTGGGATATGATAATTGGTGAGAAGTGCTAAGTGTTCCGGTATGTGGTGATGGCAGATCCTTCCACCACCTATTAGGAGAACAGATTTTGACAAGGTGCTGGCGAGACAAAGGCCTACAGTGAGTAAAGCTGACCTTGAGGTTCATGAGAGATTCACTAAAGAGTTTGGAGAAGAAGGCTAATTCGATAGAATTTCTCTCAACGGATTTGTGTTTTACAAAATATTGTTACTTGTGATCCCTTGAATGGATCAATTGAAATGCGTCTTTCAAAAGTTTATTCTGGGGATGTGAACTCCCCTTTGTACGGAGATGAATTAATTAAGGTGAATGCTAATTTACTTTCCTCCTAACCCTGTACGTGAACGGGTCTGTAAGTTTCCAAAAATAATTTCACCCATCCGTTGTTTATAGGGGCCTCTTTTTTCAAGTAATAGGTTGTCAAGAACAAGGAAAAAAAAAGGATATTTCTCAAAAATAAGGGCCTGTTTTTATAAAATTTTTCCTGTGTTTTTTAAAAAAATTTAAGGACCTATTTGTTTAAACAATTTAAATTAGCTTTTCAATTCTCATGGATAGATGAAAGGGAAAATTAAAAAATTATAGAGATATACAAAAATATTAAAAAGTATAAAAACAATTAAATACCATTATTTTTAGGAGCTAAGGTTCGTGAAAAATATCAATCTCAAAATTCATGAATAATAATTTCGTTTTTATAATTACAACCAAACATAAAATCATTTCTCTTTTTTTTATTATAAAATATCTATACAATAAATCACTTTTTATAAAATATTTTAAATATCTAAATAATTTATTTTTTTAAGCTGAAACAAGGTTAAGATAGATGTTTAAATTTTATTCTATACATAGACTGGCGCGCGCGCATATTGTTCACGATTTTATAAATTTTATATAAGCATTTATATTTATAACACACGAGTTCTCAAATCTCCATGGTGGTTTCAGCAGCTTATTGATTCTTTCCAACAACCAGTTCCAGGGACGGCTTTTTTGTGTTGTTTGTTTGTTTGTTGGGGTCTTTACCCCGATGACATCAAAAAGAAACAAGGGGAAATTAGCAAGAAGGATCACGAGGGGGATCAAGGTCTTTCAAGTGAATTAACGTTGTAACCTTAAATCCTTATTTCACTTAATTCATATGAAGGACCTTGGTCCTTTTTCCCAAATTTTTTTATCTTACGGTCCTTACTAATTTTCCGAAGAAACAAATTTGTGCAATGCATGACAGCCTAGACCCGTCACTGACCTGATCAGTCCCACCAAAACGGTCAAGTATCCTGAGGCCGGTCTCCACTGCTTCATCGCATTGCTTATTGCACAAAACCTGGATAAACTATTATCCGTGGGCCATGTCACCCAAATGATTGTTTGCTTCATCGGAGCATTTTTCTGATGCTAGTAATGAATAGGGGTGTTCATAGGTTCGGTTTGGTTTGATTTTGGGTAAAAACCAAACCGAACCGAACCATTCGGTTTACTAATAATTGAGACCTGATCGGTTTTTATGAAGTTCGGTTTGGTTCAGTTTTTGGTTCGGTTTGGTTAAGGTCTTGATCAAGTTTTAATGCACTTATTTAATTTTTTTTCCGTTTCTCCATCTTCATAATGGTGCTGTGTACTAAAATTAAATTTAATTCTTTTTGACTCCTTTTTTTTATAAATAGAGGTATAAAAATATAATAAAATTTCAATGTGATAACAATAATTAATCATAAAAATTGATATAAGTTTTTAAGATTAAAATTATTTAATATTATGTATTTTCATTAAAATCCTTTCAAAATGTTTATTTATGTATCTATATTTTAATAAATAATGAAAAATTTATTATACAAAATTCAAAACAAAATGTTTCTTGTAGATAAATTGAATGCTAAGGCTTTTAGGTTGTAAATAATTAAATGATGATCATAGCATGATTATTATAATTAGTTAATATTATACATCTTCATTCAAGTATTTTAAAAATATTTATTTATTACTATAAAAAATTCAAAACAAAATGCTTCTTGTAGATAAATGATTATATATTTTACAAATAAATAAATAGAATTTTTTTAATCAAGTTTGGTTCGGTTTGGTTCGGTTTCTAGTACTCAAAACCGAACTTGAACCGAACCAATCGGTTTTTATATCATAAAAACCGAAGCAGACTTGATTGTTGTTCGGTTTTGATCGGTTTTTGTCGGTTTGGATTGGTTTGGATCGGTCCTTTCGGTTTGGATCGGTTTTGAACACCCTTAGTAATGAATTTAGGCCCCTTCAAGACTCGGAAGCTATAACTCGTGGCTGTTCTATAAGCCTATATTTTTACACCACACACTCACACATGGATGTTCAGGACTGATTCTAAAGCTGCTACACTTGCTGCCTGTGTTTGCACGAATGGCATGTATATCAAGGGAATATGATGTAAGATTTGCTCCTAGAAAAGTTAATTTTTTCAAATAAAAAAATGATTTGGTGGTCCTAAAGCATCTGCTACATCTGAACAGTGGTGCAATTATCAATGACTTACCATGGAGACCCACTTAACCAACGCAAGAGCAGCACAGTTGGAGAAATCATGGATGTTGGGGGAAGCTGTGCATACATTTGCTAATCCTACAGCATTTACTACATCTAAGGTCACGTTTACATACTAGAATATAATAAAATGAAATGTATTTAAAAAAATAAAGGTAAAAATAAGATGATTAAAAAGGTTAGATGAGCACATTATTCATGAGGTTGAGAGTTATGATTCATGAAATTTTTAGAGAATATAATGATTCTCATATTTTTAATATATATTAATGAGCTTTATCATGCTTATCATAGAAAGAAAGGTAATTTAGTTTATTTTTAGATTGATTTTTTCAATCCAATCTATTCAATTCCATTCTAGTAAGCAAACATGATCTAAGTCTTTTAAAACCAGAATACCAGCAGAAGAGATACCAGCAGCGGGATTATACAGTACGAGGCCACTGGCACCAAGCATGACAACAGTCTCTGTTGTCAACCATCATGCAATTATCCCAAGAAAATATTCTTAAGGTAAAATATCTTTTATATTCTTGAGATTTTGTACTAAATATTGAGAAGGATGCACTTTCTCCTTGTGATCTCAACGTTAATTCAAAAGAAAACACAAAATTTAAGGACAGATATTTATATCTTGATTATCAGGTTCTCACAACTTTATAGTCTTTATAATTCAGATTCAGCTTCAAATGATTGAGTCATTCAAAGAAGCAAAGGTAAACCTGAAATGAAGCTATGCAACACCTATTATGTAGGCATTCCAAGCGTCTTGTTGTGGGAAACTTGTTGCCTCTTCGTACCTTACGTCCCCCCCCACCCCAAGTCCCTCTGTTTTTGTAAACTCAGTGGTATCTGGCATTTTTCGAAGCCAAAAGTGAACAGACTGGAATCCAGCCTCTTCTAAGCAGTCCCTGATCTCAGGCAATGTCCACCTGCCAAACGCGGCTTCCTTGATGTCAGAAAACTACCAGGAATATGATATACTGACAGAAATTCGATTGAAGTTTGGGCTATTTAGCTGAATTTGATGTATGGACAGAGATAAAAATGAAGTTTTAGATGTTGAACTGAGTTTGCACCTCAAAGTGTTGGAAAGTTTTTTGTTTTTTATTTTTTAAGTAAAGAAAATACAGACATACAATAAATATAAACTTACAGCCTCCAGCTGTAGGAAAATGCATGGCGAAGCTTTTTCTGTTGCTTCTTGAGATGAAAATGGAGGCTAATCCTTGTTTTCCTCTCAATAATATCGAAATCAGCTTGCTCCCATACATACTGCAGATTTTGATCACAAAGTCCACATTAAAAGAACATCATGCTAGTGAGCGTTACATACAATCCCCTATTAGCTATCCTATAGACCTATTTGATAGCAAAAGATGAACAATTGCTTGCTCCAACTACATATATGATGCCAATCATTTGGAAAAAGATAATAACCCTAATTCATGCTGAAATTTCCCTCTCAAATATGCCTAAGAACACAGTGGTAGTAGTAGTGCCTTTGGACCTACTTAAATAGGTTGATTCTCCCACATTAATAGCTAGCTTTTAGAGTAGGGTTCCCCATCCCACTTAGGTATCCATCAATTGATATCATAGCTAGGTTGTGGGTGGTTCCAAAGAGGGCTATTTATGGAAGGTTCTGACTGGCAGGAGGTTGAGTTAAGCGGCATGGAGTGCAACTGTTAGGACATCGGCTTTCCAAGGGGAGCCAATTGATAGAGACTTGGTAATATGTGATACTAAGTCTCACATTGAGTAGCATGGGATGCTCAATGGGGTATTTAAGTGGGTTAATTCTCCCATCTCAACAACGAATTTTTGGAATAAGATTTCCCATCTTGTACCCATCAAGTTCACTGTTTACAAAGCATCTAGATATTCATTAACACCCAATCATCCCTCAAAGCCAATTGTTTCATGCACATTACAGCTAGCCTATTCTATCTAATGCCGTTAATGTTACAAATTTATAGCAAGAACAGAATACCGTAAAATTTGGAAATCGCCTTTGAAGCCTAAGCTTATGCTCTGAAGATGCACCCCCGTATAAATCCATCACAAAGATTCCACCTTTAGTTGACAAGACAGAGTGAGCCTGCCTAAAATATGAAACCAGATCTGCTCGTTTATGGAGGCAACAGCAACTGTAGTTAAAAGCGCACACAATATCTCTTGCAGGCAGTGAAACGTTTCTTTTAATAAACTCATCTTGACCAGCAGAACCAGCTTGACTTTTAGCTTCCAGAATACCAGTCTCCAGAATCTTTCTATCATCTGCTAGTGTAATGTTCCTCGTCAACTCCTGAGGACTGCTTATGATGAGTTTTGACTGAAGAGGTTGTAAGACATTCCCATGAAACAGGGAAATTCTAGAAAACCCATCTGGTCCAACTTTTGGCATGTTGTTCTCAATGCACCATTGAAGTGCCTCAAGATCCAAATCCAATCCTACCACAGTCCTTCTTGGATCACTACGGAGCCACTCTGCACTGTCAGAAGATAGAAGATTAGGGTCAGGTAACTTGAGGTTTGCATGAAATACCAGAATATCACCAATAAATGGGGCAAACAATTTTTTTTTTTTTTTAAAAGAGTAGGCCCTTGGAATCCAATTTTATACAGTTTAATTTATTGTGTATTGAGCAATACAAAGCAATTAAAGAACTAAGAATCAAGGGAATATCATCGAGATTACGCTAAGACATCCTTGAATTAACCAGCACTTTTGCAGTCAAAGATCATGAAATGGTAAACGGTGTATAAGCAACGTCCAGCACACATTGATTTATTATTTTTAACAGCCAAAAATGGGCTCCTCATGACCCATATAATTCCCACATTAAATTAATGAACAAGGCCCTTCTTCAATTGTGTATGTGTGCGGCGGAAAACAACCTATCAAAATAATATTTTTAAGAACAACTCCTACCTATCGAAGAATATATCTATATCAACCTCAAGTTACAAATAAAGAAGCTTTTAAATGGGAAATTAATCAATTAAAATAGGAGTCATTGCAAACCAATTGTAAGAGAATAAGAGACACAATGTACCTACCTAAGAAGTGCAGTGCCACAGAAATCTTCTTGAAGATGCAGGGGCATCCTTCCACCAACGTACGTGAGAAAGAACTTTTGCATATAACTAATGTCTCCTTTGGGAGACTGCATTAACACATGGTTCAATAAATGACAACATCAATCCTCTTTTAGAAATAAAGGAGAAACCAAAAAACAAATCTAACTGGTTATTAGGAAACTCACACCGAACATGTAAATTCTATCTATAATGTCAATAAACAAGCAGCCCAGTTAGAACCACAAGTTGGTCGGTAACACATGGTTCCCATCAATGGACATAAAATTGCAATCCAAACCAAAGGGTATTCAGTCTTTTCCCCAAATTTTCTCAGCAACCAAACAGTGAAATGACAAAAAGATGTTAACTCAAACCTGTACAGATTGTTGGTAAAGAAGAAACTTGGAAGGTATGTCATTTGATGAGGTTTCGTCATTTACAACTTCTTTTTCACCACTGTTGTCATCGTCATGACCTCCTCCTCCTCCTCCTTCAAGCTCCTTTTCTTCATCAGGGATAGAAACCCTGGGAGGAGAGGAAGGGGAAGAGTAGGGTTGGGTGAGCTGATAAATGGAGTTATCATCTTCTTCGTCTTGGCAATAGTTAAAGACACCACGATGATGATTTCTTTGATGTTTCTGCTTCTTCTCTCTCTTTCCCATTCTTCGGTTCTGTTTGCACTTCCGCCGACACAGGAACAACCTGCAACACCAGACCTTTCCACGACCGCGGCGAGCACCAGAAGAGGAAAGCAGGGTCAACGCCGAATTTTGCACCTTTTATCAATTTGTTTTTTATTTATTTATTTATTTGGTATTCAAGTATATTTTTATTTTTAATATTAAAAATCCTTTTGTTAAGGGGTAAAAGATGAACCTACTTTCTTTTCTGAATTTTTTTTTTAATCAAATAGTGGCAAGCAAGCTGAAGCTTTAAAAATATTCGCAGATTACATTAGTTACTGCTACGTGGCTGGACAACTCTGCAAGCCCGGGAACTTCAGAAAGTAATTTGGTGTTGGTGTGATGGTATCCTCAGAGTGAACTTGAAAGTTTAAAATGTCGATAAAAAATTTATTTATATCTATATAAAGTACAATTTGGAGATGGCAAAGTTGGAAGGACGGGTAAGCTTCTTTTTTTTTTTGGTGAAAAACATAATTTTAATCTTTATAATTTTATTAAGTTTTACTTTTAGTTTTTTTTCAATGCTTTCAACCTCTATAGTTTTAAAAAGATTGAGTGATATTTGTTTTTTAGATTCTTATAGTTTTCATTTTTTCAATGGTTTTCGTTTCTATGAAAATTGAAAACACTGAAGAAAATAGAGACTAGGAACAAAATTCGATGAAATTATAAAAATTAAAGATTATGTTTTCCTTTTTTTTTTCATTTTCTAAATAACAAGGCAAGTTTATAAACTTGAGGATGATTACAAAATAGGGCTGCAGAAAGGTTGGCAACCCGATTTATCCCTAATATAAATATCCTTACAAATCTCATAAACTTTAAAGCCAAAACCAAAGAATCATCCCTAACATGAGCATCTTCTGCTAAAATATTAGTACATAAGGTTACCTTATGTGGAGAATATGTCATAGCAAAAGAGGACTTATTAGCCAAAGCCATTTGGACCTGAAAAATCTCACCCATAAAAGGGTGGTTTGGTGAAATACCCCTAACAATTAGATTGTTTACTTCCCATGAACCAGAGCAAGTTCAAACTCTGTTAAAATTGAGCAAAGTATACACTCAAATACCTTTGCTTATTACTAGAATCTTAACAATAATGACTGAAACTTTATCCAACTTAACTCTAAAAATAGCTATCAAATTATCGAAAGAATCTTATATTACACCTCTACAAGTAGCTTGGGAGTTTTGTAAGATTGAAGCATCCACGTCCATTTGTCTTCTAAATCTACTAAGCTTACGAGGCATGAACTCCTTGATAAAGGCAAAAATTTTTTCCTCTAAAGGATGTTGTTGATATATGAAAATATTATTTTAGGCACAAGGATGATAGTTGTCAAAAAATCATCTATATTAGCCTATCTACAAATCCAGCACATAAGGGAGAAATTTTTTATCCACTGATTGTTGCACCTCCCTGTTGATCCTACTTTGTGTTTAGCATTCTAAGAAATACACTCATGTAACTTGCAAGAAAAGAGACAGTTATAACATAAAGGGTTAAGATAGCCTCTCATGTTTCTCTCGTTATTTAACAATCTTTAAGTACATGAAGAGTAGTTTTATCACTCTTACACTTAAAGGAATAAGCCGCACTTGACTCAATACTTCTTTGGGCTTTAAGATAGTTAGATGGAATTCTCTTATGGACAACTTGCTAGAAAAAATACTTTAATTTATCTAGGATAAACTGCTTCCATAGCCGATTTCCACAAGCCTTTAAAACGTTGGTCACCTTTAGTATGAAGAAATTTGTAAGCAAAACTAACAAAAAATCTCCTATCACTAGAGAGTTTCCACCAAAAGGTGTTTTCTTCATTCTAGGTAGGTGTTGCCATTTTACAAAGTTTTTCCACAATCTCTCATGGCAGGACTCTAGCTAGTCAATGTGCATCCTAGTTTCCCTTAAGAAGAATGAAATCACCCACTTTATCTTGTGAGTTAAAATGACCTCCTTCAGCTTTAGCAAACAGAATGAGTGGCTAATTAGTAAGAGAAGGCAATACAACCATTATTAACTTTCCCATTGACTTTTTAAAGGAAAAGGTCCCCTAGTTTAATGACATTGTTCCATATATGAGAATTCCTTCTTTTCTTGATCACTATCTTGCTTGCGCTTCTTTTTCAGTCGAAATATTCCAACAAATTTTGAAGATGATAGCCTTGTTCTTATTGTGAAAATCCTCGATGCCAATACCCCCTTCATTCTTGCCTCTCCTTTTCTTGTCCTAAGCTATCAAGTGCATTTTTTTCCTATCACTAAGATTATTCTAAAGAAATGATCTAGTATATCTTCCAACTTCATCCAACACACCTTTAGGGATCAACATCAACTACATTATGTAACTAGGAAGGGCCAATAGAACAAACTTTATAAGGACACTACTCCCTACCTTATTGAGTGCTTAGCTTTCCATAAAGGGCCCTTTCCCAACCTTTTTGCAATAAGGGTGAGAAATTGCTTTTGGTGATTTGCATGTGAAGGAAAAGCGCCCTTAGTTGTTTACCTATATCCGAAGTATGGCCAACCTCTAAAATTTGACCCTAGAAGACAAGATGCAATAACCCTTGGTCTAACTCGAGAAGACAAGTTATAGTAACATAATAGCGTATGTGTCTATATACAGTATAAAAGAATGCTCCTATAACACATAAGCCTTCCAATTTTATTTAATTGTGTACATATTTTAAGAAAACAAAATGCATTTCTTATTTTATAGGAAAAATAATACTTCTATAGTACACTTTTATAGTTTACGGTACTTTTTATTTGCTTCATTTAAAATATCAATCTTTTTAAAAAATATTTAGAAGGACTATGAAATGACGTAAGTAGTATTAATTTTATTAGGATGACCTTAATACTATTAGACCTAACAAAGGAAAAACATGTTAAAAAAATTATAAAATTGATTCTAGTGTATATATATATATATAATTGTTCACTTTAAAATGGAATAACATCTTAAAATATCAAAAGAATATAAAAGTAATAGACCTCAGTAAAATTTATTGTCTTTGCCAACTCATGATCTTTTTTGACATTTTTTTAAAATAAAAAGCTAACACTGAGTAAACAAGAACATTGACATCTCATGATATAATGAATCAATATTCAAATTTTCATTAAAAATGTGTATTCATGTTTGGTGCGAATAGAATTGCTTTCAATTAAATACAACAAGAGAATGTTTGAATAATATCCAAACTGAGATTTGAGGTCCAAACCTCAATTAGGATCTTAAAAACTCATTCTACATTAAGGGATCATGTTTGGATAAATAAAGAAAGGAAGAGTCGCATCTTGGGTTTTTATAGGAGAAAAATTGCTCTTAAAACCCAATACAAATTGAAATATCTCTGCAAACTCTTAATGCAAATATTTGCATGAAAAGGCACAATTGCCTCTTATTTGAATAAAGAACATTGTGTGTGCTTGGAACCATAAAGTAACGATAGTTTCTCTTGATTATCAACCACAAAGCATTATTTGCTAAAATCCTAAAGCATGAAGCCATTTTCAGTTATCTCTCGACCTCGTAGAAATCTTGAAGCACAAAGCCATTTTCTCCATCACTGAGGGATGGGTTTCACGAAAAGAAGTAGTCATTTTCAATCACTTTGCATTTGCCCATTTATTTCCCAATTTGTATCTACGCACACATTTCCAACTTCTCCCTCATTTTCAAGTGTTTCTTTTTTAAGACAAGAACAAATCAAACTTGGTTCAATTGATGGGTTTCAGTGTTATGGTACAGCTTTGAGTTTTGTTGGCTTTGCTTCGTTTTTGCAAAACTGTTAATCTATATGGTGATATTTTTGGATTTCTTATTGGGCTTTAACTTTTTACATACTTTAGAAGCCAAGTCTGGGTGATTTAATTTAAGAATCCTTATGCGAAATACCGCAAGTTGCCATTGGACAAGGAGGATGGCTTTTACATCTCGCTAAGCAATAGTATTCGCTGGAACCTTAGCTTTTGATCTTTTGATAGTTGAAGATTAGATTATGTATTGTGCAAATATGAAAACTGTCTTGTTAATATCAGATATTCAATTGTGAATTTGGGATTCTTGTTAATTTACTTGTAAAAGTGGCACTAAAGATAATAGTATTATGAATTCACAATTGGATATCCGATATTAACAAGAAAGTGTTCACATTTTCACAAACACATAATCTAATTTTTGACTATCAGAAGATCAAAAGCTGAAGTTTCAGTGAATGCTACTGCATAGTGAGATGCGAAAGCGATCCTCGTTATCCAATGGAAACTTGTGTTGATTTCACACAAGGATTCTTAAATCAATCCACCTACATTAGCTATTCATTTTCCTTATAAGAATTACTTATATGTCAAACTTTAGTTGTTTGCATTTATAGTAGTGTTATGCTATTAATGAAAATTGTAAATTTCATTTATGTTAGTTGCTATAAAATATTGATACTTTAAATTACTTCATGTATCTGTATCGACATCGTGTCCAATATCATGCTTACCGATATTTCTTTGATATATATCCATACAGTATTGAAATGCTATTTTTAAATTTTAATTTTTTTATTTTTGATACTTATCCGATACTTTTAAATTGCAAGTTGGTGCTTTAAAGCCAATATTTCAAGATATTTTTAAAAAATTAAATTTTATTAAATATTGAGATATTAATATTTTTATTCAAAAATATATGATTTACTTTTAAAATCAAAAATTAGATTTTTCTTAAAAATAAGTTTTACATACAATAAAAAAATAAAAAATATACTTTTTTAGTTACATAAACGCATGAATATATTCTTTGGATATTTAAATCTCGGAACTATTAGCAAAGATAAGATGATAGTCAATTACATATAGATAGAATAAAAGTATAAATAATGATTATATTTTGCTTGATATTATCTTACAGGACTATATATATATATATATATATGCTATTTTAGATATTTTTTAGATTAAAATTATATTTTTAATTTTTTTATTATTTTTTATAAATATAGACATGCAAATATAAAAAATATATTGTATCCTATATTTTTAAAAGTAAAAATATCAAAATATCAG